GCTACTGCTGGAGCTGAGGACCCGGCTGGTGGAGTTGCTGCTGGTGCTGCGGACCCGAGCGGTGGCGCTGCTGCTGGTGCTGCGGACCCGGGCGTTGGAGCTACTGCTGGAGCTGAGGACCCGGACGGTGGAGCTGCTGCTGGTGCTGGAGACCCGGACGTTGGAGCTGCTGCTGGTGCTGAGGACCCTGCCGCTGGTGTCTCTGCTGGTTCTGGAGACGCTACGAGGCCGCGACCGTACTTCGTACCACTTCTTCAGCAGGTTCTTGGTCAGGCTCCTCCTCCTTGTCCTCCTCCCTCCGTAGAGTGTCCTCCGCCTGTCCAGTCGCAGTCACAGTTCCCGCCTGCCTCGCCTCTCCCTGCTCCCTCTCCTTACACTGGTCCCACAGGAGGTCTTACAGAGCGTCGTGAGCCTGAGTCTCGTCCTGCGTCGCCTGTTCGTACTGCTCGCACTGGTCGTCGTGTCCCACGTGAGCGTCCTCCTCCTGTCCCTGGCACTCACTACATGACTCTGCGTCCCTCCACTGCTCCTCAGCGTGTCCCGCTACCGTCTCCTCCTGCTTCCTCTCTGCCTACTCTTCCTGATCCGGAGTCTGACTCCCGTCGTGCTGCCAGTCCCACTGTCACCCGTTTCCTCGCTACTGTTGTCACTGACCCTACCTTAAAGTCCTCTGCTGCGTCTGCTCTGGTCGCTGAGTTGGTAGACTTTGCTGCCCGGTGTCGTCTAGACTACGCCACTAGCCTTGTTGCCGAGTCTGAGTCTGAGTCTGTCTGTCCTCCGTCCGTCGGGGGTGAGTGTGCTCTTGGCACGGACGTCCTTGAGGACAGACAGGAGGAGTTCCAGTGCTTTGCTGCTGCTTTGCCCCACCTCGTGTCCATGCTAGTTGCCCCTGAGGGAGACCCGGATGCACCAGACATCCCGACCCCGCGCACTTACGCTGAGGCGATCACGGGTCCCTACTCCTCTCAGTGGCAGACAGCCATGGACGCAGAGATGGCTTCCTGGAAGTCCACACGCACCTACGTCGACGAGGTTCCCCCACCTGGGGCGAACATCGTCAGTGGCATGTGGATTTTCAGGGTGAAGCGGCCACCGGGTTCTCCTCCTGTCTTCAAGGCACGCTACGTTGCTCGAGGCTTCAGTCAGCGAGAGGGAGTTGACTTCTTTCAGACCTTCTCCCCCACCCCGAAGATGACCACTCTTCGGGTGCTGCTGCACATAGCCGCTCAGCGCGACTACGAGCTTCACTCACTTGACTTCAGCACTGCTTTCTTGCAGGGCAGCCTGCACGAGGAGATCTGGCTGCGCCGCCCTCCTGGCTTCACTGGGTCGGTTCCTCCTGGTACCCAGTGGAGGCTTCAGCGGCCGGTCTACGGTCTCCACCAGGCACCGCGTGAGTGGCACGACACACTGAGGACGACACTTGCGGCTCTTGGGTTCGCTCCCTCTACTGCTGACCCGTCACTGTTTCTACGCACAGACACCTCACTGCCGCCGTTCTACATCCTCGTGTACGTCGACGACTTGGTCTTTGCCACTGCTGACACCGCGGCACTTGCCCACGTGAAGTCGGAGCTGCAGAGGAGACACACGTGCACAGACCTGGGTGAACTGACAAGCTATCTTGGCTTGCGGATCACCCGGGACAGAGCACGGTGCACCATCACCTTGACTCAGTCACATATGGTGCAGCAGATCCTTCAGCGCTTCCGCTTCACGTACTCCTCGCCTCAGTCCACTCCTCTGCCTACCGGTCACTCGCTCTCAGCTCTGCCTTCGGATGAGTCCGTAGAGCCGAGTGGCCCGTATCCAGAGCTTGTGGGCTGCCTCATGTACCTGATGACCTGCACTCGACCTGACCTTGCATACCCTCTTAGCATCCTTGCACGCTATGTCGCTCCTGGCCGTCACAGGAAGGAGCACATGGATGCCGCTAAGAGGGTGTTGCGCTACTTGTGCAGTACGTCGGGCATGGGGCTAGTGCTTGGAGGGCGAGACCGAGTTGTACTTACTGGACACTCAGACGCTTCTTGGGCGGACGACCAGGCTACTCAGCGGTCGTCTCAGGGTTACACCTTCAGCCTTGGCTCCGGCTCAGTTTCTTGGCGTTCTACATGCTCTTCTTCTGTTCTCAGCTCCAGTTGTGAGGCTGAGATCTACGCCACAGCCATGGCTGCCCAGGAGCTACGCTGGCTGACCTACCTGCTGACCGACTTGGGTGAGCGGCCTCGTTCTCCTCCAGTGCTGTACGTCGACAACCAGGCTGCCATTGCCTTGTGTGAGGAGCACAGACTGGAGCACAGAACGAAGCACATCGCCCTGCGGTACTTCCTTGCTCGAGAGCTGCAGCAGCGCGGTCAGCTTTGTCTGCGTTACGTGGCCACTGAGGCCAACCTTGCTGATGTGTTCACCAAGGCGCTTCCGCCTTGTGACCATCAGCGCTTCTGCACTCTGCTAGGCCTTGTGCCTACTGGACCTCACTTACTTACCTCTTGACCTTGCTTGTACTGTGATCACTATATATATATCTACCTGCATGTTTACTCTTGCTAGGTTGTGATCACTGTATCTCATGCTCTGTTATAAACCTGCATGTGAACTGGTCTTGTGACCACTAGCTTGTGCTCGGAATTTGTGTGGTATCCTTGAGATCCACCCTGAGCTTGTTGTTGCCTTGCTTTGCCTTGACTGGTCTTGTGACCCCTAGGTCTCCCCCACTTTGCCTATGGGGGTGTGTCAAACATTATATATGTTGTGTTTGTGTAGGCTGTAGTGGGTTAGCCTATAGAGGGGTCGTTTCATATTTGTACTCACAATCCTTTCTAGTTCACCATTCCGGTCTGTTATCACTGACAAGACTTTGCTGCCCGGTGTCGTCTAGACTACGCCACTAGCCTTGTTGCTGAGTCCGAGTCTGAGTCTGTCTGTCCTCCGTCCGTCGGGGGTGAGTGTGCTCTTGGCACTGACGTCCTTGAGGACAGACAGGAGGAGTTCCAGTGCTTTGCTGCTGCTTTGCCCCATCTCGTGTCCATGCTAGTTGCCCCTGAGGGAGACCCGGATGCACCAGACATCCCGACCCCGCGCACCTACGCTGAGGCGATGGCGGGTCCCTACTCCTCTCAGTGGCAGACAGCCATGGACGCAGAGATGGCTTCCTGGAAGTCCACAGGCACCTACGTCGACGAGGTTCCCCCACCTGGGGCGAACATCGTCAGTGGCATGTGGATTTTCAGGGTGAAGCGGCCACCGGGTTCCCCTCCTGTCTTCAAGGCGCGCTACGTTGCTCGAGGCTTCAGTCAGCGAGAGGGAGTTGACTTCTTCCAGACCTTCTCCCCCACCCCGAAGATGACCACTCTTCGGGTGCTGCTGCACATAGCCGCTCAGCGCGACTACGAGCTTCACTCACTTGACTTCAGCACTGCTTTCTTACAGGGCAGCCTGCATGAGGAGATCTGGCTACGCCGCCCTCCTGGCTTCACTGGGTCGGTTCCTCCTGGTACTCAGTGGAGGCTTCAGCGGCCGGTCTATGGTCTCCGCCAGGCACCGCGTGAGTGGCACGACACACTGAGGACGACACTTGCGGCTCTTGGGTTCGCTCCCTCTACTGCTGACCCGTCACTGTTTCTACGCACAGACACCTCGCTGCCGCCGTTCTACATCCTCGTGTACGTCGACGACTTGGTCTTTGCCACTGCTGACACCGCGGCACTCGCCCACGTGAAGTCGGAGCTGCAGAGGAGATACACGTGCACAGACCTGGGTGAACTGACAAGCTATCTTGGCTTGCGGATCACCCGGGACAGAGCACGGCGCACCATCACCTTGACCCAGTCACACATGGTGCAGCAGATCCTTCAGCGCTTCCGCTTCACGTACTCCTCGCCTCAGTCCACTCCTCTGCCTACCGGTCACTCGCTCTCAGCTCTGCCTTCGGATGAGTCCGTAGAGCCGAGTGGCCCGTATCCAGAGCTTGTGGGCTGCCTCATGTACCTGATGACCTGCACTCGACCTGACCTTGCATACCCTCTTAGCATCCTTGCACGCTATGTCGCTCCTGGCCGTCACGATAAGGAGCACATGGATGCCGCTAAGAGGGTGTTGCGCTACTTGTGCAGTACGTCGGGCATGGGGCTAGTGCTTGGAGGGCGAGACCGAGTTGTACTTACTGGACACTCAGACGCTTCTTGGGCGGACGACCAGGCTACTCAGCGGTCGTCTCAGGGTTACACCTTCAGCCTTGGCTCCGGCTCAGTTTCTTGGCGTTCTACACGCTCTTCTTCTGTTCTCAGCTCCAGTTGTGAGGCTGAGATCTATGCCACAGCCATGGCTGCCCAGGAGCTACGCTGGCTGACCTACCTGCTGACCGACCTGGGAGAGCGGCCTCGTTCTCCTCCAGTGCTGTACGTCGACAACCAGGCTGCCATTGCCTTGTGTGAGGAACACAGACTGGAGCACAGAACGAAGCACATTGCCCTGCGGTACTTCCTTGCTCGAGAGCTGCAGCAGCGCGGTCAGCTTTGTCTGCGTTACGTGGCCACTGAGGCCAACCTTGCTGATGTGTTCACCAAGGCGCTTCCGCCTTGTGACCATCAGCGCTTCTGCACTCTGCTAGGCCTTGTGCCTACTGGACCTCACTTACTTACCTCTTGACCTTGCTTGTACTGTGATCACTATATATATATCTACCTGCATGTTTACTCTTGCTAGGTTGTGATCACTGTATCTCTTGCTATTTTATCAACCTGCATGTGAACTGGTCTTGTGACCACTTGCTTGTGCTCGGAATTTGTGTGGTATCCTTGAGATCCACCCTGAGCTTGTTTTGCTTTGCTTTGACTGGTCTTGTGACCCCTTGCTCTCCCCCACTTTGCCTATGGGGGTGTGTCAAACATTATATGTGTTGTGCTTGTTTAGGCTGCAGTGGGTTAGCCTATAGGGGGTACACAATTCTAGGGTTAGGTACTTGTACTCATTTCACTGCTAGTTCATTCATTCCTCGTTCAGTTCTTCTGACAAAGTGAGTGAAGCTCGTAGTCGCGATGAGCGGCTATGTGCAGCAGCACCCGAAGAGTAGTCATCTTCGGGGTGGGGGAGAAGGTCTGGAAGAAGTCTACTCCCTCTCGCTGACTGAAGCCTCGAGCAATGTAGCGCGCCTTGAAGACAGGAGGAGAACCCGGCGGCCGCTTCACCCTGAAAATCCACATGCCACTGACGATGTTCGCCCCAGGTGGGGGAACCTCGTCGACGTAGGTGCCTGTGGACTTCCAGGAAGCCATCTCTGCGTCCATGGCTGTCTGCCACTGAGAGGAGTAGGGACCCGCCATCGCCTCAGCGTAAGAGCGTGGGGTCGGGATGTCTGGTGCATCCGGGTCTCCCTCAGGGGCAACTAGCATGGACACGAGATGGGGCAAAGCAGCAGCAAAGCACTGGAACTCCTCCTGTCTGTCCTCAAGGACGTCCGTGCCAAGAGCACACTCACCCCCAACGGACGGAGGACAGACAGACTCAGACTCAGCAACAAGGCTAGCGGCGTAGTCTAGACGACACCGAGCAGCAAAGTCAACCAACTCAGCGACCAGAGCAGACGCAGCAGATGACTCAAAGGTAGGGTCAGTGACAACAGTGGCGAGGAGACGCGTGACAGTGGGACTGGCAGCACGACGAGAGTCAGACTCCGGGTCAGGAAGAGTAGGTAGAGAGGACGCAGGAGGAGACGGTAGAGGGACACGCTGAGGAGCAGTGGAGGGACGCAGAGTCATGTAGTGAGTGCCAGGGACAGGAGGAGGACGCTCACGTGGGACACGACGACTAGTGCGAGCAGTACGAACAGGCGATGCAGGACGAGACTCAGGCTCACGACGCTCCGTAAGACCTCCTGTGGGACCAGTGTAAGGAGAGGGACCAGGGAGAGGCGAGGCAGGCGGTAACAGTGACTGCGACTGGACAGGCGGAGGACACTCTACGGAGGGAGGAGGACGAGGAGGAGGAGCCTGACCAAGAACCTGCTGAAGAAGTGGTACGAAGTACGGTCGCGGCCGCGTAGCGTCTCCAGAACCAGCAGAGACACCAGCGCCAGGGTCCTCAGCACCAGCAGCAGCTCCACCGGTCGGGTCCTCAGCACCAGCAGCAGCTCCACCGCCTGGGTCCTCAGCACCAGCAGCAGCTCCACCGCTCGGGTCCTCAGCACCAGCAGCAGCTCCACCGGTCGGGTCCTCAGCACCAGCAGCAGCTCCAACGCCCGGGTCCTCAGCAGCAGCAGCAGCTCCACCGCTCGGGTCCTCAGCACCAGCAGCAGCTCCAACGCCCGGGTCCTCAGCAGCAGCAGCAGCTCCACCGCCCGGGTCCTCAGCGCCAGCAGCAGCTCCACTGCTCGGGTCCTCAGCACCAGCAGCAGCTCCACCTCCAGGGTCCGCAGCACCAGGAGCTCCACTCCGAAGACTGCAGCGCCGCGTGTACCACTCTCGGATCTGCTGAAGGGAGGGGAGCTCCCGGGTAGGAGGAGAAATACTGGTACCAGCTCCAGCAGCACCTCTCCGGAGGCGGCAGTACTGTAGGTACCTCTCCTGCAGCTGCTGGGAGGAGAGGGCTCCTCCAGGTGTAGCACTCTCAGGCTCAGCACCTCCAGACTCAGCACCCCCAGACTCAGCACCCCCAGACTCAGCACCTCCAGACTCAGCACCCCCAGGCTCAGTACCCCCAGGCTCCGCACCTCCAGGCTCCGCACCCCCAGGCTCAGCACCCCCAGGCTCCTCACGCGCAGGCTCAGCACCCCTAGCAGGACGAGACTCGACAGCTACCTCGACAGGCTCAACCGGGTCTACCTGGGACACACCTGAGGGAGCGGCACCCTGAGGGGGGAGGGGGTCTACCACAGCAGCACCTGGCGCGAGGAAGAGAGGCGGAGGGGGGAGCGGGGCAGTGCGGTAGGGGAAGAGGCGGTAGAAGGGGACGGACTCGTCAAAAGTGACGTCCTGAGAGGGCAGAACCCGGCGCGAGGTGGGGTGGTAAAACTGCCAACCAGGCGCGTCCGGGACAAAGCCAAGAAAGACATAGGGGACAGCGCGACGGGAGAGCTTGTCCGCGGACGTGTCGCGAACAAAAGCTCGGGATCCCCAGACCCGAAAACGCGACGCATCGCCAACCTCTCCCGTCCAACGCAGTGTTGGAGAAGTCTCCGGCAAGGAGACACGGTGCCAGAGGTTGAGCTGGTGTGCAGCGTATCGGACCGCTTACGGCCACAGAAAGTGGGGAGCAGCCGCATGGATCAGGGAGGTACGAGCGATCTCCATGACCAAGCCAATGCGGCGCTCAGCAACCCCATTCTGCTGTGGAGAGGCCGGAAGCGTGAACGACTGCTCAATGCCGTGCTCGGCACAGTAGGCTGCCAGGAGGTCGGAGGAGAACTCACCACCTCTGTCAGAGTGCAAGCGCAGGACAGGAAAGTCCGAGCGATAACGCTCGCCTAGCTGGAGACGGGCTCGGCTGATCCAGGGGATCAAAACAGCAGGGACCTCACCCTTGGTGCGCAAGGGGAAGACCGTGGTGTAGCGCGAGTAGTCGTCAACAACTATCAGGAAGTACCTCTCCTGACCCTGACCACGGACGCGGGCTGGGCCCCACACGTCCATGTGGAGCGTCTGCAAGGGAGCAGTCGTCGGGGGAAAGGAGGAGGAGTGAGGAGCGGCGCGCTGCTGCCCCTCGACACAGGGAAGACAGGGAGGAGCAGGCGAGGGTGGCAGGGGAGGGAGAACCCTGGGAAGACCAGAGACAAGGTGCCGTTTGTGCATGGCACGAAGGCGCTGCACAGACGGGTGGCCAAGTCGGTGGTGCCAGAGGACGGTGTCGTGCGCCAGAGAGCGACACGAGCAGGGGGCCGACAGCTGGCCTGACGCAAAAGCGGACGCAGACGCAGCTACCTGAGGGGACTCAGTGGTCAGTGTGTACAGGTCCGACCCCGGCTGCCGAGTGAAGGTAGCCAGGTGACGGCTGTCCAATTTTCGCCTGATGGAGTAGCTCCTGGAGGTAGAGACCTTCGCGAACGGGTGACGTAGCGGCGATGAATTCAGCTTCGGCAGAGGAGAGCGCCACCATTTATTGCTTCTGAGAATTCCAGGAAATGGGTCCGGCGGGCTCAAGGCGGAAAAGGAAGCCGGTCCGGGATCGTCGATTTGCAGGATCGGCAGCGTGATCTGCATCCACGTATCCAACGAGGTTGAATGAGCGAGTCGCAAGGGTGGAGTAGGTGAGGCCAATGTGTGGTGTGAAGATGAAGTATTGGAGGGCGCGCTGTAAGTCCAGCATGTGCTCCCCTTCAGGCCGCTTGGCATACTGAGCGGGCTGGCTCGCGATGTGGGACAAGTCAGGCCTGCACGTGATGGCAGCGAAGAGAAGGCAGCCGAGTTGCTGCTGGTATAGCTGGTGTTTGGTGGGGTTGAGATGTTTGGTGATGACGGCGGAAGGAGTGGCCGGTATGCGGTAAGGGGTGGAGAGGTTGGCTGGCTTGATGTTGAATTTGGCGGAGAGGGTTTCCGCGTATTTGGCAGCGGAGAGGTGGATGGCATCGGCAGCGTAGGAGATGTTGAGCCCCAGAAATTGAGTGACGGAGCTGTTGCTAGTGATTTCCACGCGGTTGCTGAGGTTTTTCTCGAGAAGAGTGGTACTGGTGCCAGTGTAGAGCAGGTCATCCACATAGGCCATGAGGAGGATGTAGTCGCCACGGTAATGCATTCGATACATGCCGGGATCGTGGGGTAGCTGAGTGAAGCCGATATCCAAGAGGATTTGGTGGAGATGTTGCTGCCAGAGGCGTGGGCTTGTTTGATGCCGTAGAGAGATTTTTGGGAGTAGACACACGCGGTCGTCGCCATCGCCGTAGGTATGTGGTTGTTCGACGAAGATGAGCGCGTCCACGAGAGCGTAGAGGAAGGCGTTCTTGACGTCGATTTGGCAAAGCGGGAGGTGTTTTGCTGCTGCAATGGCGAGCAGGATGCGGACGGAGGTGTGGCGGCTGACGGGGGCAAAGGTTTGGTCAAAGTCAACGCCGTGGCACTGATCGAAGCCGCGGACCACCCAGCACGCTTTGAAGCGTTCGATGGTGCCGGCCGTGGCAGACCCACGCGGAAGACCCACTTGCTCGAGAGCATGCGCCTCCCCTTCAAGGCTGCCCGATCGGCGAGAACCCAGGTGTCACGAGCTTTGAGCGCGGCAACCTCGGCGTCCATCGCGGCGCGCCACTCCTTTGCGTAAGGTCCCGTGAGGGCCTGGCGCGGGGTTTTGGGTTCAACCGCCTTTGGTGGGCGGGAAACAGCTGTGTGAAGGCAGAGGATGTGGAGACCCGTGATGCCGGGGCTGTGACGTTGTCCGCTGGTAACTTCCACCACGTCATCGTCCGAGTCGTGGCCGTTGGATGGTGTCGGACTGATGAGGGAGTCCCGCGAGGAGTCGACGGGAGCGCTGTCTTTATCGTCGTCCTCATCGCTCCAAGGGCGGGGGCCGGGGTGAGAGTCCGTGGGGTCCTGTTAAGCGAGCGCTGCTTCCGCTTCGTCTTCGGGAGTGGGTCGTAATCTGCAACGTTGGTTTCTCCCCTGGTGCAGTTAGCGTGGCGGTCGCACTGGAACTTGCGGATCGTGAGATCTTCGTAGAAAATGACGTCACGCGCCGCGACCACCCGGGATGTATCGTGGTCGAGGATGTTCCAGGCGTTGTGTTCGAGGCTGATGACGAGGTGCACGCCCCAGCGCGCGCGTCGTTCGAACTTCCCCGTAGTTGCTGCTGGTGGCCGGTACTGGATCATGCAGCCCCAGACGCGGAGCATGGAGACATCTCCCTGCTTGCCGGTGAACTTGAGATGGGGGGAGAGGTTGTCGGTGTTGGCGGTGGTGCTGAGCAGATTGTGGAGACGGACTGCGTGATGCATGGCGTAGGGCCAGTACTTCGCGTCGACGTCGCTCTGCTGCAGGAGGGTGCGAACCTTGGTCATGAGCGTGTGGTTGGTGCATTCCGCGACGCCTTGTTGCGGGTGCGCATACGGGAGGGATAGCATGTGCACGATGCCCTTGTCTTGGATGTATTCCGCGAACTTGTCGTTCTTGAATTCGGCTGCGCAGTCTGTTTGCCAGATTTTGAGGGTGCAGCCTAACTGGGTTTCCGCATTGGCGTGCCAGACCTTGAAGACGTTGAACGCCTTGCTCCTGTGGGAGACGTTGGCCACCCAGACGAATCGAGAGTGAGCGTCGACGAAGGTGAGGGTGTATTCTTCGCCGTTTATGCCGGTCTGAGTGAGAACGAGGAAGTTGCTCTAGACTTCTTGGAGCTTTTCGTAATGGTCCGTGCCAGGCTCGAGGAGCTTGAAGGGCTGATGAGCTAGAGCTGCTTTGGGGCAGATGGTGCAGTCAGTGCGCCGAGTGGTGTTGACGGGGAGCGGGGTTCCGTCGGGGCGGAGCAGCGTGCCAGGCAGGAAAACTTGCGCGCGAATGCAGTTGTTAAGAACCTCCTGTGAGGGATGTCCGAGGCGTTTGTTCCAGAGGTCGCGTTGAGCGTGGATGGTGGGTGAGCGAGCGTAAAAGGCTATGAGGGCGGCGATTTTTGCTGGTGTCGGCTCTGGGATTGGTTGGGGCGAGATGGACAGTCCAAGAGCAAGAATGATATCACGAGCAGTGGTGGCAGTTGGTGTGTCGTCTGTGTCCGCTGTTTCCTCGGGAAGGTGTGGGCTAGGCATGTGGTGAGGTGGTAAGTTGTGAGGTACGGTGGGTGGGTGTGGATTCAGTGAGCAGGGGGCTTTGGGGATAGGTTCTGTAGGGCAGTATTGTGTCGCGGTCTGTGGGCGGCCGAGAATCTGCTGATGAAGCTCAGGAGTCCCTAAGTGAGGCACTTGTGGGTGGGATACCGAGGGGGTGAGGTGAGCCGTAAGGTCATACTGCTTCCGCGACGGCTTTGGCTTCGGCGCGCGCAATCTCGTCTTTGATCGGTTCCTCCTCCTCGTGAGGCGGTGTTCCCCAGGGCCCAGTTCGGCAGGCATTAAAAAAACGGTTTCCCCGTATGGGCTACAGTTGACCGACCACCCTGGAACCTTCTTTGATAAGCGCGCGAAAGGTTATCTAGGCTCGATATAAGCGGATCATCGCCGAACCAGACAATAATGGAATGCCAGCCGAACACCCCTTTTAACGCTGGCATTTTTCACAAGAGGAACCTTCCTCGAACCCTTTTTCTCAGGCAAACTGTCCATTTTCTCATCCGCCGCACCATGCGGCCTCGAGGCCCCGCACCATGCGGGGGATCATTGATTCGGGGAAATCAAACTTTGCCCTAAACAAAACAAATCTCGGTCTTTCTCACCCCTCTTCGTGCCCGCTGGAAAATCGCACATCACCAACACACCATCTCTAACACATCGAACGCACAGTATGCCTTGTGCGATTTTTTTCGACGTCCACCTCTGCTTTGCGAGGCTGCCCGGGCTACCCGTACAGTGATTCCACGCTCTATCAGTGCAGCTGCATACGGGCTTCCCCGAAGTGACTGGTGCCATTATTTTGGCCCATGGAATGCCAACCGAACACTCAGGCCATTTTTTCCGAAGTTTCACTGCAGCTACAGTCTGTTTCTTGGGGCCATTTTTTGGGGGCCCGTTAAAATGGCCGATAATGGCGATAATGGCCATAATGCCTGCCGAACTGGGCCCAGGTTGGCGCGGTGCCTCCCCATCCAGCTTCTGCGTTGACACTTCCCCAACCTCCATATGCTGCTGCAGCTGTTGCTTTAGCTTCGTCGTCCGCGCGGCGGCGTCTCTCTTCTTCTTCGTGGCGCTGGAACTCCTTGGTTGTCATTGTGCGATGGGACCAGGGATGATCGACATGGTACCTTTCCCAGGTAAGAGGGAGCGGGTTGTTGTTAGCATCAAACGCGCCAGAGCCGATGTAGCGGGTGAGAAGATCGAGGCGATCGTGAGCAGTGGGGTCGGCTCGAGTCCTGCGATGCTGGAACTCGGTGAGTGCTGCAGCGAGTTCTCCATCCCTCATGCCTGTTAGGTGAGGGGTCTGCCACTCGGCTTCTTCGACGATGTCCAGGACGCGTGGAGGGGGCGGGGTGGTTACGGTCGAGGTCGGTGCTGAGGATTCCTCTGCGGCAGGGGCGGCGGTTGTTGCAGCGGCGGCTAGTCGTCGTGCGGCTGCGGCGGAAGATTCTGCTTCGTCTATTGCGCCTTTTCCTTTGTCGAGCGAGGAAGTCCTGTGCGCGGGAGATCGTGGTGGCTACTGTGCTCTGTCTCTTGTGGATGATGATGGAAAGCGTGCGAATCTGGAGAGCGTAACAAGAGATTAAGTCCGCCGACTTCGGCGAAACATTGCGTGCAGCTCACGTAACCTAGAACGATGAGCAAGTACGCGTTAGAAAGGTCTTAATCTCTACTTTCCAGAATGGTAAAGCACGCCTTCAACCAAGATCTAGGCCGATCGCTATCGCGATTTATGTGCGACGGGGTATCCTGGCGGAATTACTTGGCAGCCATAAATTAGATCTAGGAATGACATGAACAAGAGTTCAGATCTGAAAAGTGACGAGTTGGTGAAACCCTACCAACCCAACCCTCGCCCTACAACAATCCCCAACACCTTAAAGTGCCAAACTAGCAACACCAAAGGTGTTGTAGTTGGTAACAAAGGTTTGTTGGTGCTTGTTAGGTGCGAGTTCAAATCCAGCCCGCAACAAGTTCAACCACCACATTTTGCCCAAACCCTTAGCCCACAACCAGCTAGAGCAAAATACCACAACCACCTACACAATCAAC